ACCATATTCCCCTGGAACTCACGCCAAAAAGCCACTTGAGATCATTAATTTTGCCATTTCAATTGCTGTGATGAATGTGCTGTGAGACAATGAGCCATTTTTTCATTCTGGACACAAGTGGAATAACTGCGCATGGGTGGCGTTTCCTTTCTTTTGGTATTTTCTCGACTTTGCACCGGTAGAATCGGGTGTCATGGAGCGTTTGCATCTTTGTGTGACGGGACGTCGCCTTTTCCCGGCCAATCCTCACGGCATCCCTCTTTTGTATCAAAATCAGGGCGGTGCGGCGCGCACGCCCGAGTATGCCGCGCTTATATCGTGGAAACCGAAATTAGACTCGCTGGAGTTTTTCAATGGTACGAAAAGCGCAATCGCTCCCCTTTCCGATGACGTATTCGGCCGTGCGTGTGAGACGTGGGCAATCGGAGCCTCGCACCTCCCGATCGTACGTCTGTGGGTGAACCCCAAATAGTGAAGTCGTGCTATTAAAATATTCTTGATGATGATACTGGTTATAATTCAGTCAGAGGGATGGTGTCATTTTTATGAATGAAATATCACAATGTCCCCCACACACCAAATACTACAAAATAGCCGGGCTAAAACATAGTCTACGCTTTGTCACCAAATCGCGAGATGCGCCGGTCGATGCCGAGGCGACGCTCGTCTAGCAAATCCACAAACACGCCGAACTAGACTGTTGCCCCGGCACGAAAATGACGTGACCATTTTCACGGCCGGCGCAAACTACTGTCTGCCGTCAAATTATCAGGCGCATCGGGGGCGAGGTAACGCGGCCCCAAACACGCTGGACAAGACTTGCACTGACATGAAAAAATAGTCACGCCCGGTTTTATGCCGAGCGCACGGGAGCCAATCGACCAAACCGGCGCCCAACATTTGGAAAAGGTGCGAGAAAGAAAAAACAAAAAAAAAAAAGCATCCAAAGGTCCTCACGAGTCACACTTTACTGTCGTGTGTGCATTCAAAAAAGGCCTTAAAAAAAAACTTCCAGCTCTTCCTCTCACAAATCTTCTCCAGCGCAGAAATCAGATGCATTTATCACATCCAGATTTGCTATCCTCCAAAGCCCTCCAAACACACAAGTTGACCCCGAACTCGGCCGAGCGTCTCATTCTCTAAATCCTCGACTGGGCTCCCCATCGCTCAACTCGTCCACTTCAAAGTCTTTCGTCTCATGTTCAAAGTCCTTCATCCCGATGCCTCTTCCTACGTGACTGACCCGCTACGCTTACCCCGCAGCCTCCTTTCGTCTGAGTTAAACTTTCTCTCCCGGTGGTTCTCAATTTTTATAGACTGAGTAAAAAAAATACTCAGCTCTCCGCAGGTACCGCCGTAGCATCCTTCGTTTCAGCCGCTTGTATCTGCGATCTCTCTCCTCTTCTTTCCCGTCACGACCCGCGGCTCGTGACCCGATTTGAGGGTTGGAATGTAAATCGAGAGCGTCACCTTTTGGGCTCATCTCCTTCTTCACTGCGGCAGACCCAACCAAACAATGTCCGCAGAACAAGTTAGGATGTTTTGGTTGGGCTCATCTCCTTCTTCACTGCGGCAGACCCAAACAATGTCCGCATAACAAGTTAGGATGTTTTGAAAAAAAATATTCAAATCACCTTTTTATCAAAGTAGAAGATATTGAGTCAAGATGCTACTGTGATTTTAACACACGGGTTATTTTCAGCATAATTAATTCAGTCACTCTGTATAAATATGGTCCCACGTTGTCTACTCTTAAACACGGAAAAACTATCATTTGATAAAACACAACAATTCCGAATCCCCTGACCGATGAAACGCACAACAGAGCCCCCGTTCAAGGAGCTCGTAAAGCGGATCCCATTTTGGACTTCCTGCTTGTCACGGTCCGTGCGTCGTCCGTGTCAGCGTCGAGTGCGAGCGTAGGCGTGTCAACGTATGCGCCAAACCATCGTAGAGCAATTGAGTGAGCACCCGCGGCCGCGCTACTGAAACTGTCATGGAAGCGGGAATGGTGTGGTGTCCCGTTTGTAGATTCAATTGGAATGAGTGTAGAGATGTCACGTGCATGCGTTGTGCGCACCAGCATTACCGTGTGCGCTAAGACAAGTGCACGGTTGCTCACGCGTGCAGCTTAGAGGGAACATTGGTGCTAACTCTTCTTCTAGTGCTGTACATTTATTTTGAAGACCTGACTTTTGACACTTTACGCCGATGTTGTCCCAACTTGCCCGAGTGTTCTGTTGTTCCGAGATTGCGATACCTCACAAGTCACGCCTTCTGTCTCTGATTGGTTGTTTTTTCCCCCCCCAGACACCGTGGTTTCTCGTATACCAAATGAGAGCCACAAGATGGGGCCAGAGACAGCTGACGCTTTGTTTTCGGGCATTAGATTTATTTTGTGCGACTGTCTCGTCATCATTTGACAAAAAGTGTTTTTTTCCCGGTTCCCCGCAAACTCTGCCTTTCAAAAACCAGCTCTCTAAATCACTCTCTTTTCTTGTCCTTTTTTTTTTCTCAATGACATGTGAGCTACTGTACATCACCTGACAATTGACTTGCCGCCTGCAGAATTTTCCGCAATGAATCTGTGCGCAGACAAACATGAGTGAGATTGTGTGCAATTATAATTCCCAACGCACTTTTCATCCCATCTTGGCTGATTTATTTTCTGTCCAAGCCAATCTGAAAGCCCCCGTGACGATCCCTGCGCCAGCGGATCGATGGCGTGGACGTGCGGCCGCACGCACGTAGCGGAATGCACACAGAAGAGGAGGAGGAGGAGGAGGAGGAGGAAGGCGGAGTTGGCAGCTCGCGCTCCCCCATCGGCGCGCATTCGTCGCCTGCC